TCATTTCTATAAATATCTCAATTAATTGGGTTGCAAAGGTTGTACAAATGCACAAGGTTGTAAAAGAAATATACCCTATATATATATATATATATTATATATACATATCTAATAATAGAAAAATCGTTTTATTTAGAGTATACGTTAAATATAAATCAAATATGCAAGTATTACCAATTAAGATGTATATATATACCAATTTAGTACAATTATTTAATTTATGAAAAAGAAAAACAAACTGGTCAAAAAATAAATTGAAATAAATATTTTTTATAAATAAAGTAAACTTTTTGCATACAAATACTTCAATTTCATCATATCATGTTCTGTAGTACACACATTGAATGCTAGTAGTTGATGATACATGGTAACAAGCTGGCACCAAACTCACTACCACTTTATAAAAGATTAAATATTTGTTGGTAAAAACATTTATTTCACTCTTAACAAATAAAACATTAAATACAAACATACACATTTATACTGTAAATTATATAGAAACTGTCTAAAAGTTAAAAACCGTGAAAATTAGTTTCATGTTTTGTTTCATAACATGTGTGAAAACCAAACACATGAAAATCAACCAAAACCATCCAGTGAGCTTAATCTTAAGTTATGATTCATATTGTTTCACATGTATTTTTGTGTTTTTTTCAAATGCAGAATATTACTTGACGTTTCATTTATGAAACAACACATACAAACTGATTTTCATGGTTTATATATGATTTACCTTCTATGTATATATAGATACACGTATAATAATGTGTAGGTGTAGATGTTTTTCACTCGCCACTAACATGGGTAACATTAAAAGCAGTCAAAATTGTGATCAGTTCCACGATAACTGCCTATATGAAGCATTTGATGGAGGTGTTAGTGGAGGCTACGGTTGTGATGTAAGAGAAAGGGGCCAGCCATATTTGCTCATGGCGATGTTAATGTGGTATCACGTGAGATATTGAAATTTCGAGTCAGAGCTTTGATGTTAGTTCATGACAAGAAAGGTAAGGTCGATGACATATCTACTTGATATTTCACTGGTATCTTAAACCTTGTCATGAAAACATCAAACAAAACTCCACTTAATCTAAACAAATACCCATCAAACTTCTAGCCAACAAAAACCTGCTAGTGAAATCAGTGACCAAAATGACTCGAAATTTGAAACAAACCAAAAACTTCGATATAAATAGATTACAGCAATAATAGCAAACATTAACCCCTTAAGTCCTAAAAGATATGTGGACCTAACAACGGGTCGAATTGCTGGATCCACATATATAACATATAAAAATACCAGATTCGTCGATGGTTGTTTAATCCTAAATTCGAATTCAAACTCTTGGTTTGATCATAGCTCTAAGGCTCTTCTTCATCACCACAGTGAACTCCAATTTCTCGCTAAAATCCACCTTGGTGCCTTCCGGGTAGGAGCTCCATTCAAATTCTTGAACCATTCGGGCCAACACCAGATTGATGTGCACCGTCGCCAAACCCAGACCCGGGCAGATCCTCCGCCCGACCCCAAATGGCATCATCTTCACTCCGGTCACCCCTGTTATATCTGCATCCTCACCGCCGGTCAGAAATCTATCCGGGTCGAATTTTTTCGGGTTGGTCCAGAGTTTCGGGTCTTCTGCAATAGCGGGTAGAAATATCTCGACGTTTGTACCCGGGGGGATATCATACCCGGCTAATTTAACGGGTTCGGTAACCGAATGGGTTAAAACAAAATAAGTGGGCGGGTGTTTCCGCAATAACTCCTTTACGACAGCATTTAGGTAGGGCATGTTCTCTGTGTCCTTCTCGTCGACCGTTTTATCGCCGACGGTGGCTTTGATCTCGTCGTACAGCTTCGATTGGACGCTAGGGTTTTCGATAAACCTTGCGATGGCCCATTCGATCGCCGTCGCCGTGGTGTCAGTGCCTCCATTGAGGAATTCCGAGCACAATGAAACGATTTCTGGATTCGTCGGAGGAAGTTCCCGCCCCTCCACCGTTAAGTCGAATAAAGTATCGATGTACGAGAACTCCGCCGCCGTGGGATCTGATCCTGGATTCTTAACCGCCGCTCGCCGCTGTTCGATGAACGGCACCAATGTCGCAATCTGCTGCTTACGGACTTCCGTTGCCCTCTTACGTTGCTTCGAGAAAAACGGTCGGAGTAACGGCAGATAATCGTCGATTCGCGGATCCAAAGTAATCAAAACCGTTTTCATCATGTCGTCCATTTTCTGGATCGTCTTCTCGTCCATCTCCACACCAAAACACATCGACAGAAGAATGCAAAACATCGCAAACCGTGTATTTTTCAGCACCCACACTGCTCCACCGTTCGCCTCCGCCTCCGCCTTCAACCGCTCAACAAGCTTATCCATGGCTGTCTCCCTCACGTGCCTGAACGTGCGTAATTTAGCAGCACTAAGCCCGTTCTGAACAATGTTCCGCCGCAGCGAGCGCCACACTGGGCCGTAATACGAAGCGTTGACGGTGAACTTGTTACTGCTGAAAATAGTCCTGGTCGGGTTTTCAGCGGGTCGGGTGGCGAATATGACACCCTTGTCGATCAACGCCTCATGAACCAAATCTGCACGAGACAAAATAATCATTGTTCGAGCACCCATTTTAAGAGTAAAAATGGGGCCGTACTTGGGTACGAGTTCTCTGACATACTGGAAGAAAGGCTTCCCGGAACCGGCGACCTGAAAAAGATTGCCGACGACCGGCCAACCAGGCGGACCAGGAGGAAGAATGAGCCGCTTGGATTTAGAAGACCTTGTGCGCCAGAATACAAACGCAGAGAATAAGAAAGCTAGAACAGCTAAGATGGTAGGAGAAAGCTCCATTGTTGCATAGAATGAGAATGAGAATGAGAATGAGAATGAGGGTATGGATATAAAAGAAGGAGAAGGGGATGCATTTACAGGTGGGGGTGTAATTAAGAGGATCAATGCATTCAAATCTCCCAACTACATACCAAACTTATGATTAGAGTTTTCAGATGTAGGAATTTTTAAACGTGACAAAAAAAAATTCATAAGGTTTTAGGGTCATTTTTTATCAGAAAAATCATTTTTAGTAATTGTTAATGTTATATTAATATTTTTTTTACTCTATTAATTCTTTTTAACATAAAATTATTTTATGTCACGTCATATTTTTGTAAAAAATTGTATTAAGGAAATATTTTTTTAATGTATA